GGGGATGCGTGTGTACGAAACGGAGCAACGGCTCGGCATCTCCCTCTGCTGCTGTGGTGGTGGCAGGCACGTGCCTGAAGGGCTTCTACTGCACTTACGCGCACTCGCCAGAGGAGCTGAGGCCTGCCAAGAACCTGACCAAAACGAAACTGTGCCAACTGTGGCGCAAGGGCGCCTGCACACAAGGAGCTTTGTGCAACTATGCCCACGGGAGGAACGAGCTGCGATGCACTGGTGGGCGCAGAAAGAAGCACAGGCGGAGGCTGCGTATGGGTATGCCGTCACGGGTGGGTGTGTGCCTTCTGTCTGTGTCAGACGACTACTACAAGACTCGTCTCTGTCGCTTCTGGCAGCGTGGCGAGTGCCTGGCCGGACAACAGTGCAGGTACACAAGGCGCCCACATGCGACATGTCACGCCGGCACGGGCCCATTCTGATGTGTGATTGTTGCTGCAGGCATGCGCACGGCTTGGAGGAGCTGCAGCCGCGCAAGTACCGGTTGACGGAGCGGGAGAAGACCAAAGCCAAGGCCCGCAAACATGCGCGATTCCTGGAGACCAGCGGCCCTCAGCAGGTCATCTACCTGCCGTCGGATCACACGCCCGACCTCTCGACGCCCTCCCCCTCCCCTCCTCCCTACGACTTCCACGCCCCCACCGTGCTGAAGCTGCCGGCCATGGTGCTGCCGATGCGCGGCAACGGGCACAGCCAGAGCAACGCCATGATGGGTGTGCAGCCCGACACGCCCCTGCCCATGTCCTTCCACGAGTGGGGACAGTCGACCGCATCGGCGGATGAGGGCAAGACCCACTCGACGCCCTCACTCTCGTCCATGCCGTCGCCCTTCTCGTCGCCTCTAGGGCCGTCTGCTGCTGCTGCTGCCGAGAGTGCTGCTGGGGCTGTCGGTGGTCATGTTGGTGTGAGGGCCGCTGTCGATGAGAGTCTGTGTGTGCGTGACAAGAGCCACCACGTGCGAAAGACCACGGTAGACTTTGAGAGCGACTTGGCCTTCATAGCCAAGTCGACAGCTGCTCTGCTCAATCTCGATGACCACCTGTAGATAGAAGCCCGGCCCGGCCAGGCCATCTCATCTGGTGGGGGGGGTGCGTATCCGATGGGGCGGTAGTGTAGGAAAAGGCAGGCAGAAAGGCAGGTCGGTTGATGGCTGCACCGATGGATGGATGGATGGATGTGTGCGTGGTGTGTCTGTTTGAATTCACACACACGTGCAGTGAGTGCATGGTACACACAATTTTGCCGACGTGCTGGGGCTGCACGCATTCGACACCGAGATGCGACGGATGAGAGGAGAGACGATGAAGGAAGGAAGCCCTTCCAACCTTACCTTCTTATGCTGTCGTTGTGAAGAGAGAGGTCCGTGCGTGCGTGTGCTCTTGTGTGTACGTTACGTTCCTGCTGTGTGTGTGTGCGGCTTGATCGAGTGTCTCTCTGTGTGTCTGTGTCTGTGTCCGTGTGTGTCTGTGCCCGTGTGTGCGTGTGTGTGTGGAATGTCCCTAATTGATATGGTGCACCATCAGACCAAAAGTGCCGATCGATCTGCCTTCCTCCTGCTCACTCTAACTAACGCTCCTGTTTTGTCAAGTGACCTTCGTGTGCCTGTCTGTCCCTGTGTGTGTACTATGTGGGTGTGTGCAGATGGTGTGTGTAAGGTAGCTAGGTAGGTAGGTAGGTACCGAGCGGATGGACAGTGCGTCCATCCATCCATCCATCCGTCCATCTGCGTCGCCCTGTAGGCCTCTCTCTCTCTCTCTCTCTCTTCATACTTGCATCCCTACTACTGCTCTGTCTGTCTTTCTAATGTATGTGGATCGATCGATCGACCGATCGATCGGTGCGATGGGAGAGAGACCTGGATATACCTATAGCGTAGCTTCCTTCCCTCCCTCCCTCCCTTCGTGCCTTGCTTGTCTCCTGTGTAGCATAGCTGCCCGTCGTCTTTGTGCTTTCTTTTTTCAGTCCATAGCGCTCATGTCCGTTCATCGAAATGTGAAGCAATCAATCGCTGGGGGGGACAGAATGAGAGGGGCAGAAACGGGCACTTTGTGTCTGTCTGTGTGTCGCTCATCCGTGTGTGTATGTGTGCGTGCTGTGCTGCGTACCATACGTGTTGGTTGTGCCCAAGTTTTTCCGTTGACACGGCCGGATTCGCGCATTCCTTTTTGAATCGATGGATGCGGAGGTTTGTTTGCCATCAACACGACAGACAGACATGTTTCGCCACGCCCCCCGCCTCGATGCGATCCATCTTCATAATTTTTGCTTTTCCTGTCGTGCGCGTTTATGCACGCAGCAAAGAGCCCCTCTCAGAGGGCCGTGTGTGTGTGTGTGTGTCTGTGAGTGTGTGTAAGAGGGAGAGAGAGCGACAGAGGAGAGGAGTGAAGAGACCCACCACAATACAACACACCACACATGGCTTTCAACACGACTAGACAAGTTTTGCTGCGTGCATGGCTGTCTGTCTGTCTGTCTGTATGGCCGTCGTTTGACTGAGTCTCTTTTTCTCTATCCTTGTGCTAACTCATCCATCCATCCATCAGCATCGCATGCGGGCCCGCATCTTCATGCCTACACACACTACACACACATACCACTGGTGGCTGTGCTGTTATGAGTGAGTGCGTGCATGCGTGTGTGCGTGCGTGTCCACTGCTCACTTTGAAAGCGAAATGAGGGGACGAAAGGGGAGAAAGAGAGCGGAATAGTGGGAGACAAAAGTATGCGTGCATCTGCGTGGCCAGCGACCTTCAGAATGATGATGCTCTCTGGCCATGCCGTGCGGGCGAAGGGATGGGATGGGATGGAGGACCGTTCATTTTTTGCCCACTCTTTGGTCAGTCGGTCGGTTGGTTAGCGTAATACCATACAGTGGGCTCTGACTTTTTTTTCTGGGCCACAAACATAACATTCTACTATGATTTTTGCTCTCTGCCGCAAGGCAGCCAGGCTACCTACCTGGGCAGGCAGAACAGGAGAGACACGAGAGCCGTCGCATTGTTGGTGATTGGTGGATCAATCAATAAATCGGGCAAGTTTCTGTATGTTTGTATCGTATCGGATGTGAGAGCGTGTGGGCAGTACAGTCACCTGTGTCATTCATTCTGACTGACACGCTGTGGTTGTACGCCGTCTGGAAAGTAGCAAGCGTTGCCACACGGAGAGAGTGGACACGCCCCGGGGGTGGTCACGGGGCGGGGCGCAAGAGAGTTGAGTTGTTGGTTCGTGGGTTTTGTTTGCTCCTCTAGCTTGCTTGCCTGGATCAGTTCTTCCTCTATCTGTCCGGTGACTGCCTTGCCATTGTCCGCGCCGTAATGCCGTCTACTGCTCTTCTCTGCAGCAAGAGCGGCATTGGTGCGGGCAATGGCATGCGGTGACTTGGCACTGAGAGAAGGACGCGGCTAATGGGACGGGGAGAGAGGACGTGTGTAATTCGGTCACTGTGAATGGTATGTGCGTGATGGGATGGATGGATCTTCGCGTAAAGGCTCATATCGAGCCGAACGGACCATCATTGAACAAAATAAGTAAGCCACAGCAGCTGGAACGCCATCAACACCCACATAAAGACGATCCATCGGCCCATGCACATTACAAAGATAATCAACAGTGAGCTCAGCAAGCCAGCAACGTCACCATCTGCAGCAGCAGCAGCCAGAGGCACCCTATGGACAGCACCTGGCCGGCTTCCTGCATTCAATGCACACAAGAAACCAATGGCCATGCAGTCTGGTGAACGCCATGCTTACACGGCCGAATCCTCGCTTCAGCAACATCGGTAGCATCTAGTTCGTCGCTTGTTTGTCCTTGGGCGGGCAGCCCCAGAGGTGTCAGACTAGCTCTTCAGCTGCTCACGGCACTCTGCAGCAAAAGAGCGAAGATGGATACCACTTGACTAGGTATGCTGCCTTGCTACCTCCCCACCTGTGCAGAGGTGTAAGGGTGCCTCGTCGAGGCTATGCACATCGCTGCAGGGGGCCATTCGACAGCTGCCACGACTTGAGCAATGCTGGAAGGTCGACAGCGAGCAATAGACAGTGAGTGGTATGCGCGTCACGTGTACGTCAGGCAGTCCTTCCTGGGTCTATATGTCTGGCTGGGGCTGACCTGCAGGCCCCACAAGTGGTAGGTCTCATGCAACACTACCTGGACACACACAGCTAAAGGCGATAAGCAATGGCCAGATCAGTGCCTGCTCTTCTCTCCCCTTCCGTACCTTGAGCAGCCGTTCCCCGAGCCTCCTCGCCTGCTGACCTTCGCTGCCGCTCGGAGCCTCCGTGTTGTCTGCTTCGGCCACACTCTCAGGCCCTTCTTCCTTTAACAACCCCTTGTCGACACGGCGGCGCTGTGCAGGTGGCGCGTCACAGATCCCAAGGGCCTCATCTGCTTTGCGCTTCTTCACATCTTGCAGGGCAACAGCATCGCTCTTGCTGCCGGGTGGCGGACTGTCAGACAGACGCGCCAGCGACACAATGGCCACACGCGCAGCAGGGTCGGCCTGCCTGACGACACAGACACATAGACTGTAAACGTATGTATGCCGTCGCACCTTCTCGTCTGTCTGTCTGTGTGTACTGCACTCACTGCCCTCACCCGAAAGCAAAGGTCCACTCCTCGTGAGGCGACAAGTCTCTCGACGTGATGCCAATAACGGCCGCCACGCCTTTCTCCCCACTCAGCCCCTCTACACATTGCACAAGAGGCTTCAGCTGCATCAGTAGACATTCGGTGGGCAGCGCACGAGGCTGACTCGTCGCCTTACAGTCCTCCTTGGTCGCCTCCTTGTGCCCGTCCTGCTCTGATGGGTCTTGCTTGCCGTTTTGACCCATCGACTGAGCAGGTTCCTCGGCACGCAGCAGTAGTCGGACTGGCGACAATGTGTGACGCTCCAGCTCATCTGCACACGGACAGACACAGCAGACGACAGACAAATCCATTGATGAGTGCAAGATCTCGTCACCTGCGAGGTTTGAGAGCACATTGGGATCAACAACAATATCCATAGGAACGAGATAAAGCACCCCACGCTCTACCGTCATCCGGGGAACGTGAACGGTAACGAATTTGAAGCTGCTGCTCGCATTCGCAGAACCCTGAAAACCGCTGCTCCAGAAATGGAAACGACATTACGAAGATGGCAAACCACGCCGCGCCAACTGCTGATTGCAGCGACCATTGCCATCGCTTCCTTCCCATGCTCCCTCTCGCGAAGCATCTATGGCTCATCGGCAGGCTACATTGGGCCTGTCCCCCCTCTCGTCGCTTCCCATGATGCCGCAATGCAGGTGCCGCAGCGGATAGAGATCACAGCAGCTGACTCGTCGCTGATGAATGCTGACTTGAGGTACGCATCTGCTGCTGATGGGCTGGCGGCGCCGTCGATGAGTGAAGGGCCGCCCGGCGCCTTGTTCGGTGCGATTGAGGAGACGAAATGGAGAGGTGAGCCGCCAAAACGACCGTCGCTGAGGAATCCACATGTGTGGCTTGCCTTGTATGTGCGCTCACTTGTGCAGATCTCGACGCCTCATCAGTCCCCCTTTCCTCCCCGGTGCTTGCCAGGTGAGCACCTACATCACACGAGTATTCGATGAGCCACCCAACCCATGCGCAGCCTTCCTCCCTTCGTGTCGTGTGTTGACTGACCTGTAGGAGCAGTATTGTGCTGGCTTCGTCGGTCATCAAGAAGCCATGGCCGCTGGTAGCCATCGCTGTCGCCTACAACCTTGTCTGCATTGGAATCCTGCTGGGCAGGCCCGGTCAAATCGACAACGAGGTGATTAATTGTGGACCACAGCGACCTCCACGTGCTTACATGGAAAGCCATCTCTTCTTCTCTCCCTGTCTGTGGCGTGACTGGTCAGATCCAGTTGACTCCTTCACGCAAGCCAAAGGGCATCTTCGGGTTGGTGCCGCCATCGGAGTGGCGGATAGTGGCGCTGCTGGTGGGCTGGATAGCCATCAACATCATCGTGGGCGCATGGCCAGATATACCTGACGAAGTGGTCTAGACTAGACATCATGGGATGTGATGATGTGAGCTATGCTGTGCCGTGCCGGTGTGCGTTGTCTGTGAATGAAGCCAGCCGGCTATCAGACTGATATATGGCCGCCATGGGGAGACTCTTGCGTGGACGTACAAGGATACATACTTTGATCGAAACTCGACAGAGTCTCATCCATCAGTCAGTCACTCATGTGTCTGTCTGACAGCACCAAGTGGAGTAGCTCTGCCACCAGCCGCACATTCACCGCGTTGCCGATCATCCCAATCTGCTGACGAACAGACAGCGACCCATCAGCAGGAAACGAAAACCATGGAGGAAAACCCATCAAGTTCAGCATCTCGCGAGGGGAGAAGTAACGCAACACCGACGTCGAAGGGTCCAGATAGTCTCTCAGCTCCTTTCGGGGCCGCCTGCCGTCCACCCAACAGTTCGCTGATGGCTCAGCATCGACATGTTCGACTGGCTGGCGCGCTTCTCGCGAGCAAACGAGCTGCGGGAGACAGAACTGCCTGTGCAGCTGCTGTGCAGTGGGCTCAACGAGCAGGCAGCTGCCGGCTCTTTCTGCGTATCTGCCATAGCTCTTGGTGAAGCAGTTGGAATAGATGGACGACGGCACCACCACATCGATGTACGGCCAGGCCTTCCGCTTCATATCGTCACTGACCAGCAGCTGCCGGTAGAGACCCCTGCACAACACAAAACACACAGCAGGTGCACACGAAGTGTTCACTTTTCTGCATTCCGCGTCGTCGTCGTGTCATTTTCCTTACATGTTGCTTCCATCCCCACCGAGCGGTGCCATTGGCGGCAGGTCGCGCTGGAGGAACTCAGCCAGCGGCCGTATCCCCCCACACCAGTGCTCCTCACGCCCAGGAATGAAGCTCAGCGGACCTTGAATGCAGTTACCTCCGCCGGCCGCCTTTCTCGCTGTGAGGAAGTACCTGGTGCGGAAGTTGGGGATGCCAAAATGCATGGGAGAGAGAAGGAACTCGTGCAGGTGGTAGCCACTCTGTCGCAGCACCAGACATAGCTCATCGCGGGCGTCAGACATCTCAAAGCCCTGAACGTTCTCAAGCAGCAGGAAGGACGGCTGGGCGGCTGCTGGGAGGCGGGAGAGCACCCTGATGATGTGGAACAGGCTCTGTGCTCGCGCGTCGGTGTGGCCCCTCCGTGTGCCTGGCTGCCGTGTGTATGGCCTGGAAGGAAGAGAAGACGCGTGCGGTCTCACCAGTCAACAGAAGGCACATTCATCTTCTATGTTTTCACTCACTGGCAGGGGGGCGACATGAGCCACATGTCAGCATTGAGGCTCTGCATCTCTGCCGCAGTGAACAGCTCCGCATTGCCTTGGCGGACCTTGGTGTCGGGGAAGTTGTGCGCATATACCTGGTTCACCTCCTGGTTGTTGTCCAATGCAAGGACGACAGCGAACTGCAGCTCCTGCCTCTGCCGGCTCACCAGATCAAGAGCCGCGTGCCAGCCACCGACTGCAGCAGACACACGCAGACGCCACAGCAAGAATGACAGAGATCTTTCAAGATCTACTTACTTCCAGAGAAGAGCTCACACACTCGCAGTAGAACTCCACCATCAGAACTCTCTGCGAGCCCTCCCATCTTGGTCAGCCCGGCCCCGATACTTCGGTTTCGCGGATTGGCCCCGACGGAGGTGGGAGGTGGGAATGACCATCCGGAGGATGTGAGGAGGCTCGAAGATGGCTCTGTAAGCTGATGACGCAAAACAGCGCGAAAGAACACAAAAGATCGGGGATCTCTGACCGTGCGGCTGTGTGTGCCCCCTGTGCGTTCGTTAGATGGTGTTTTGATGGTGGGGTGGTGATAGTGTGACGACCATGGCAGAGCCTGCCGGGGAGGAGCCCATCCCAGCTCCCCCCGAGAAGTTGGAAGTGGATTTTGCCTATGGATACTCTGGAAGGTCAGACCTCAACGGATGGATGGACGGATGGATGGATGGATCTCGCCTGGTCTGCTGGGTGTCTGTCTGTGGCGCTTGTCCGTCAGCGTTCGCAACAATCTGTATACGGTTTCGAGCAGAGAGGTCCTCTACTGCATCAACGGAGTAGCTGTCGGTCAGCTGCCGGCATGACAATCTGAGAAGGACTGGCTCACGTGGGATATTTCTTTTCTGTGTTCTGTTTTGCAGTGCTGGACATCGAGTCCAACAGCCAGCGGTGTTTCAACGTCCACACGGGCCGCATCACGTGCATCGACTACAATGCAGCCACCGGATACGTCGCCACGGGTACGCACGTGCATCTTCACACACCGACGCACATTCCTTCTCCCCGGTTGTTGTGTGTCAACAGGTCAAGATGCGCCGCTCCCCCCGCTGCCCCCCGGTGTGGCGCACCAGTCGTTCATATCCCTCTGGCGGGTCGGCGGATGCGGCGAGGCGGCGCGGCTCTTCGTCGAGGACCCCGTCGTAGAGGCATGCTGCTTCGCACACGACGCATCCACTCTCTATGCCGTCGTGACACCTGACGTATCGACACCAGCAGACAACAGAGTCGGGGTCCTCTATGCCTGGTACGGTGGGTGGGGGTGCGCCAAACGAGGCTCAGTGACATGTCCCTCGTCATTCCTCTCTTGTTCTTTCTCTCATGTAGGGAGTTGGAGGGGCTGGACCGCGGCGATCCGCCCCGGTCGGTGCTGTCTGCGGTGGTGTCGGATCGTCCCGTGCTGGGCATCACAGCCCACCCCACCGACGCATCGCAGGTGGTCGTGTACGGCCACCAGCTGCTGAAGGCCATGCTGTGGAACCGTGACGACGAGGGCGAGCAGCTGGATCAGACCAACGCATCATGGGGTGGCATGGACCTGTCCAAGCGGGTGGCGGGAGCGGGGGACGGCAAGGGGCCACCCATAGTGACGGAGGCCAAAGCGGGAGAGAGGGGAGGGATCCCGCCCAATGTAAGCAGAGAGATCAGGAGATGGAGAGAAACCAGCCACTGCCTCTCCTCTGTCTTGTGCGCCTGTGTGTCAGATCATCACGTGTTGTCGATTCTTGTATGACGAGGAGGTCCGCTCCGCCCTCCAGGGCCGCCCGTCCAAGAAACAGAAGACCACCACCGCAGCTGCGGAGCAGCCAGCACCAGCAGCGGCAGCAGCAGCTGCTGCGGCGGCCAGTGGGAGTTCGGGTGCCGATGAGGGCAAGGGCAGTACTAGAGTTTCAAGCACGGTTGCTGCGGCCACGTCAGAGGGGACGGTGGTCATTCTGAGGGACATGATAGCCATGTGTGTCATCGAACTGCCCACCAGAGGTACCCACACACCGAACGAACGAACGAGACACGACAAAGAGAGAGCAAGAGAGAGAGGGTCATGTACCAATGTCTGTGTCATGGATGTGATGTGTGTGTAGGGCTTGCGTTGTCGTTTGTGCTGCCCGATGACGAGGGCGGCTACGTGTGCGGAGGAGACGACGGCAAGATCTACTTCCTAGACCCAGACCACAACACAGCTGCCGAACCTGTAAGACCACAAAACATCACGCCTAATTTGTGTCTATACTTGTGTCTCTTGCTTGCTTGTCCCGGACTGCAGATTGAGTGTACCCTTGACGGCGAGGGGGTGCAGATCCGCACGTGCATATTCCCATCCAGACCATCCATCGTCATCGGTACAATCAAAACACAACACACACACCTCGGCGCAAGGCGACACATACAGATCCGTTTTTCGGTTGTTGCAGGCACGGTGTCAGGCGATCTGTGTGTCGTGCACCCATCCTCCAGTAGCGATTTGGCCCTCCCCGGCCCCGCCAGCCACGAGCCATCCGACACGGGCCGTCTGCTGCGGCTGGTGCCGTCACCCGGCCCCGTGTGTGCCATCGCCGCCCACCCATATCGGAACTCTGAGATCGCTGTGGGCGCACAGAGCATCGTCAAGTGAGTGACCAACAGAAAAGAGACCATTCACAACCATGTGTCGTGGCGTTCATGCATGTCCCGTCTGCCGTTTTGGTGCAGGTTCATCGACGTCGAGCACCATGCAGAGCTCCCCCGCCGCCCCTACCGTGTCAGCCTCGCCTCGGGCGCATCCAACTCATCTCTCGGATCGGCCACCGGCACACGCACGGGGCCCCCAGCAGCCGCGGCCGCCAGCAGCAGCGGAGATGGCGGTGGTCCTCCAGTAGTGGTGACGTGCCTAGCGTATCATCTGACGGGTGTGCTGCTGGCCATCGGCACCAGCAAGGGCGGGCTGCACTTCGTGGCCACGCCCGACTGTGGGTTCGGAACACCTATCCAAGACTGCAACAGGCAAGACATGGCACACAAACCATCTCCCATATCCTTGCACCGGTCCATTGATCCATACGCTGTGTCCGTCCGTCCATGTTGCAGATTGTGTCGTGAGAGGGTGGGATCCTGGTCGATCGGAGACATGGGTTTCACCCCGTCGGGGGAGTTCATCGCCGCCACGTCCGCCTCATCACCCGAGGCGGCCATCTACCACGTCGTCGTGCAACTCAGAGGCGACATGCCCTACCTGAGGGTAAGAGCGAGATTGAGACAAAGAGGAAGGAGCCCATTCACGATTTGTGATGTCTTGTGGGGGGTCACGTGTACAGGTTGAGAAGCGTTGCAGTCTGCAGGGCGGCCCGTCGCCCTTCCACGAGCTGCAGTTCTCCGAGGACTCGTCCCTACTCATGATCACCGACAAATCCAAAAACGTACCTCAGGATATCACACTGCGTCGCGCAAATAAGTATTCCACTCGCTCCTTGTCTTTGGTGTGTGGGTGCTGCATTCATCAATCAGATAATGTGGTGGCGTGTACCCGAGGGCGCCCGGCTGGACACGATGCAGGGGGATGATTTGGGGGTCATCCAGTCGGCCATCTGGTTCTCCGACTCCCACACATGGAAACCCATCACTGGATTCCTCGGTGGGCATCCTCCCTCGCACCCATTCATTCATGTCTGTCTCCTCCCACCCTCCTTGCTGCTGACCATTTGTGTGTGTTCTTACTTTGTGTGTCAGTTGGCGGCATCATGGCTGAGAGCAGCGGTGGTCAGTATTTGGGGATGGCCAGCAGTGCCATCGTCAGCTGCGAGTCGGCCAGACGACACCAGCTACTCGCCGCGGGAACCACATGTGGCAGGTCAGTGAGCGAGGGAAGGAGAGGAGAGGAGAGGAGAGGAAGGAGGGAGGGAGGGAAGGTCAAACACGAGCCGGCTGCAAGGGATGTGTTCGTTCGTTGTGGTTGCAGAGTGCGTTTGTTTCATTTCCCCTGTCCTGCCATGGCGGACTGCCACGAGCACTGGGGGCACGCTGCAGCCATATCATCTGTCAAGTAAGGACAACACACGAGAACACCAGACACGGGTGTGCTGCATGTTGATTGACACGTGCGTCAGGTGGACACAGGATGACACACTCATCACCAGTGGCGGCAAGGACAACTGCATCATACAAGTCGGTGCACACACAAAGACAGACACCCGTACACACGACACATGCCACCTCTCCTCTCTCTCTGCAGTGGCGCATCATCGACCCCGAAGCCGCCCGCCCGGCTCCCCCGGCCATCGAAGAGCCCAGCACAGCAGCGGCAGCAGCAGCAGCAGCAGCCCAGCGGTCCCCGCTCGCCCCCTCCAGCAACCAGGCAGAGGCCGAGTACGAGGAAGCCCTCACTGTTGACGACGACGATCTGGAGGTGCTCAGACTTCGAATGAACGGTGCAGGGGCCAAGCCGGGCGTGCGACCACCACCCGGGCCCGGCCACGGCCCCCCATTCAGGGGCCCGCCGATGATGATGCCACACATGCGACCGATCTACCCACCACCCGGCATGCAGCCCCCGCAGATGGAGGAGGGCGGCGTGTACGGCGCGCAGAGGGCCCGAGGAAAGAGATCTGCGAGCCCCTTCATCTCCTGCTGTGCACCAACGACAGGACGACAGCCCACGCCCATCGTATCGAGGAAGGCAGGTGCGCCCCAGCAGACGGGCAGCCGCGGCCCCCGCCCACCTGGCTTCACGGGCCCCGGTGTTCCTGGCTTCGTCTACGGGCGTGTGGAGACAGTGGACTCTGACAGCACCGACAGCCGCATTTCGTTCCCTCTTCCGCAGCCATCACCCTACGCGTCGTTCCGCCCTCCCCCCGGCTCGCCGGCTCCATTCCAGCTGCACCACTTCGCCAAGCGGCCGCCGCCCCCCTCGCCATTCATCCGGCCCCACGCACCACCTGTCGGCGGCCCGCAGGCTCATGTTGGGCCGCGGATGAGCGACGGGGGTGTCATGCGGCCCCCAATGCCTCCGTTGGGGTGGACCATGAGCCATGGCGGTCGCCCGATGCTTCCCATGCCCCAGAGGGAGGAGGGCCCGACACAGCAGCAGCAGCAGCAGCAGCAGCAAGAGACGAGAGAGGGCGAGATGGAGCAGAAGCAGAGGCCACAGACGGAGAGAAAGGGGCGTTCGGCAACCGATGATGAATCTCGGGAGGTGGCGGCGTTGGTAACGTCTCGCTACCCCGCCCATCGCCCACTGCCCATCCTGCCGTCGAATGGTCCCCCCGGCCACCCACCGGTGGTCGGCCTGCCGCAGACACTCACACATCGCCCCCCTGGCCCTCCGCCACCCTTCACGCCGCCATACATCCGCCCTCTGCCCTCTCGCCCACCGCCGGGGCCGCCCATGGGCCCGCCGATCCGCATAGCGCCCCCAGCAGACTTCGAGAAAGAGGACATGGGCCGAGTGGAGAGGCCCCAGCAGCAGATCGGCCTGTGGAACGACAGACTCCCGCCATCCTCACCGCCCATCGTGTCTCCTCCGCGCGTGCCGCTGACGCCCACTCTCCGGCCAGCAGGAGTGGTCACGCCGCCCCATCTGCGGGTGGCATACCGATACCACACCAAGCCCCCGGAGTCAGGCCGAGGCAAGACGCTGCTGACCCTCGTCCACCCTCCGAAGCCATACAAGAAGACGGGCGAGCCACCATCGCCCCCTGACACACCGATTCCCCCCATGGTGCTCGAGTCCCTGCGTCGATCCGGCGACGCTGCTGCCGATGGGGCGCGTCTCGGCTGGCTGACGGTGCCGGCTGTGCTGGGTGGAGGGCGTGGAGATGAGAGAGAGGGGTCGGTGCAGTGCGTGGGTGTTCCCTCGCCTCCGCCGAATTTGGCCGGTCGGGTGCTGCAGCCCCCCCCAGGGCCGAAGGCTTCCTACGTCACACCCAAGTTTGGCTCCCCTGGCAACCAGAGCGCGCAGGTGTCGCCGCCCAGTGCTATGCCAGAACCCGATAGGTAAAACGACCCTGATTGCACAAGAGAGATGGGTGGCAGTGCCGTTCTCTGTGTTTGTCCGCTTCTCGCTGTACGTGGGTGTCTGTGTGTGCAGAGTTGAGGCTCCTGCTGGTGCAGCGGAGCCTGTTGTGAAACTTGGCGATGTGTCGCAGCGCCTGACTGGTACGAGCCAGCAGGTCCCCAGCTCAGCGCCATCACCGCCCTTCCCGCCAGTCCATGGCGGTCCGCCACCACCCCCCCTGCCGCATCGGCCCTTATTGGCTCCGCCTCCCCTCTATAGACCACGATTCGCATCACCCATTCACCCACCTATGATGCCACCGATCATCCCTCAGCAGCAGGACTTCCTCCCCATGCCGCCCCCGGTGCACATGGCGCCACCATACCTGGGGCATCCGATCAACCTCACATTGACACATCCGCCGGTCGGCTAGGCAGTGTGGGGTGGGTGGACAGACGGATCTTAGTGAATGCATGATACGTTTGATGTTTGTGAATGTCAGGTGGAGGGAGTTGGGAGACGGGTGCAGCCTCCGATGGTCATGATGCCCGTGCCGATGCACCGTCCGGTGCTGCCGCCGCCGGCGGGAGGTGTGGCGCCGCCGATTTTCGGCGGGGGAGGAGTGGGAATGAGAACGGCTGCGGGTGTGGGTGTGCGGGGAGGGGCTCAGCAGTCGCGTGGCGGGGGTATGAGTAAGTGTTGCGATGTGCCAAGAGGGCCGAGGTATGTAGACGGGTGCGGACTGTAGCCAAGCTACCTACCTACCTGCCGATGTATGTGTGAGGGGGGGAGAGAGAGACGCGTGTGCATTTTCATGGACTGAGTGAGATTAGCTGACTAATTCTCATCGATTGGACTGCCTGAAAGAATGAATGCGTCCATCCATCCACCCAATCTGTCCCAATCAATCAAGGAAGCCATAGATACACATATCTCTCCAATCTCGCCCGCCCATTGGCAACCAAACCACAAACACGCCAGTCGGACCTATACCACCGACGCACACTGTCATGTCTCTCTCTGCCGTCCGTCGCTCAATTCGTTTCCGCCTTCCTTCAGCTGCTTGCATCAAGATAGGACGGCGCGTCGAAAAGCCTGTCATAGCTGAATTTGTCAGCCTTGCTCTGCACACCCGGGGCCCTTTCAGCGGCTCCCGACACGTCAAAGCCCTCTGTGGCCGATAGCACTGGCGCGCTCCCTCTCTCTGCGGGGCGGGCATCCTCCCCCAGGGAGATATTCTCTTGCTGGCCGGGGCCGAGGAACTCTCCTGGCCTGCAAGTGCCTGCTCGGCGAACAAGGGCTGTGTATCGGTCGTCACGTCCTCTGCTGCCCTGTCCTTGTCAACACTCTCTGGTGCCTTTCTGGGATTCTCGCCGCGCATCGTGGTCGACGGCAGATGCACGCTGCCTGAGAGCTCATGTGTGTCTGATGAGTTGTTGAGAAAGCTCAGGCCGCCGCCGAAATCCGTCGACGCATTGCTGGAGAGGATGCTGCCGAGGTCATCCACTGTGCCGTGAGCCATGCGGCCCCGCAAAGGAACCGAATCAAGGCCAATTGGGGAGTGGACGGCAAAGGATGGCTTGATGTCTCGGTGGCTCGTCAAGTGGGGAATGGGCAGCGAGAAATTGGCCGAGTGGATGCCGAATGAGGATGAGAAATTGGAGGAGCAGTTGCTGTCGAAGAGGGGGTGCGGGTGGTAGGGGTGGTACGCCGGGTGTGTGGCGGTGTGGTGGACGTGGTGCATCTTGAAGGCCGATGGCGGCTGAGGGATGAACTCGGGCAGGGAGCCGTTGGTCGGATGCACTCTGGCGCCGTCGAAGCCCTCGCTGGGCCGCAGGTAGGCCCCGAAGTCCCGCTTGGAGATTGCATTCTTGCCCTGATGATGATAACAAGATCAAGGGGCCATGTCTTTTGGCTATCTAGCAGGCAGTGTGCTGTGGATGCTCACCCCAGACATGAGGTACTCCCAGGCGAGCTCTGCGCGGTTGCTTGACTTGTCTTTGTTGTTGTAAACATCGAGCTTCCTGAAGTACTCCATGAACAGCTGCAGCCAGAAACATAAGTATGAGCTCTGGACACGTGCTGTGAGTGGAGAGTGCTTACGTCCCGTGTCAGCTCTCTGTCAGGGCGGAGGCCGTGAAGCACCTGCACAACCACAATACGCAGAAGAGTGCGTGCCGTGTGTGTGCATGTGTGTCATGTCACCGACTTTGGGTGCGAGTTTGGTTGTGGGCTCGGGTTCTTTGATGACGCCGTCATAGTCCTTGAGCTCAGGCGGGGGCTGGTTGAGGATGATGGTCCAGATGAAGGTGTCCATAGGAAGGCTCTCCATGTACTTGGTGAACTTGCTCATCGTGCAGCCTGAATGCAGAGACATCAAATGCATCCATCTCGTTTGCCCATCCCATTCGTGTGTCCCCCCTGCCGACCGCATATGTGCCCCTGCTCTTGAAAACACATGCCAAACTTGTCCCGGGTCATCTCGTTGGGCTGTATCCATACAAAGGAGGCAGGCCACCCGTTCCGATGCCTCTGTGTCTCTGCTTGGCTTGCATTGCCCCCATTACTGACCGCAATGAAGAGCCCCTGCAGGGCATCGAGGCGAGTGGGGCATTTATCCGACAAGGCCAGCAGCGCCTCAGCAAGGCACTGCACAAAGCCAACCAGAAAGAGGATGGAGACCCCTCTTTGTTTTGGGACCTATACCTTCTTGTGTACGACGTGGCTTTCCCGTCTTCTGGCTGCGTGGTACAGCAGCTCCCACCGCGGGCGGCTCTCGAGGGTCACCTTGAGCTCATCCCATGCAGAGGGGTCCCGCTGCCCCTCAATCGACGCTGACTTCTCCGTCACAAACGAGAACGGATTGTCTCCATCTGCAGACGACAGCCAGAATAGGATATCCGTACAGTTGGCAGGTGCACCGTGCAACGCACATGCTGCCCACCTTTGCTGTTCAGGATGCGTCGGCCGCCCTTGATTGCGATGAGCTTTGTGAGGTTGCCGGCCTTGATGGGCACGTCGAGCCGCAGCCGCAGCGCCTTTGTCTTCTTGGTGAGTGCTCCAGCTGGGTCTGCAATAGTGTCGAGGCGGGAGAAGGCTCGCAGGGAGCCCTCAGTGAGTCTCAAGGCAAAGAGGAGAAGGAATACAGGATGCATCGTGGCGGAAAAGGGATGGCAGAGGATCGGGAGGCGAGGGGAGGAATGGCAGGCTTGGAATGTCCCGCGGCAAGTTGAGCAGCTTTCAGGATCTGCCGCCCCAATCACAACAGATGGAGTGGATGAAAGGAAAACGGATGGCGACCGTGACGGACAGACACCCCAGTCTCTGGTGGGGGCCGCCCCCATCCCGTCTGCATGCAATCGCAAGGACCGTATTCCAGGCAGTGCTGTACAAGCAGGCAGCTGCTGCTGATCGGCCAGTGCGGAATCCACGCCATTCAGATTCGTGACATCAGCTAATCCCTCAACCTGTCCCGCCCAGCCGGTGAGGTTCATCCCCTCCATTCCATCGATTCATCCCATTTCAGCTGCATCATCGGCTCCCCCCCTGTCTTTTCTGAGCCAATAGTATGGTACCGAAAGCTGCCATCTGCCTTTTGGTCAGTGCCGTCTGGGCCCTTCACGTTTGTCCCGCTGTCGCCAGCCTCGAGGATGGCTCTGTGTCTCCTCCCGGGGCTCACCAACACAGAGGCCCAGCAGGTGGAGTCAAGTCCAGATGTGCTCTCTCTCAGCGCATGTGCAGTGTCTTTTGTCCTGTGCAGAAATCAATAAGGACAAGGGCGACGAGCACATTCCTCATGCCGTCACGCTTCACGAGCGAGAGGCAACACAGACGCTGAATCACACCCGTAAAGCGGCTGAAATGATACAGCAGACTCACGGTAGGTACGCGCGTATGCCACATTGAGTCGGCGAATATATCCGTACGCGCCTTCAGCGTCTAAGCATGAGTCTGAGGCGACCGCCCCCCATCCCGCAGCCATGAAGGTCGACGTCGACATCCTCACGGAAACATCCGGTGGCCCCCTCACACAGGAGCGCGTGCAGGCCGCCTTCTGTGTTTCAACCCCAGCAGCGGCAGGGCCAACTGGATCGAGCTGCTCACGCGGCTGCGTGCACTTCCACGCACGCTGGTCTTGTTCCACACGTTGAGGCCCTGGGGATGCAGATACGCGGATCAATCGATCGACAAAGTGGTAATGCAATGGAGTCAGTGGAGGAGACCGATCCTGTGTGGGTGGGTACCTTGGTGTGTCTAGGACCTGTATGAGTTGCTCCGGGCATTCTTCCAGACGTGCGAATGGCAGGCCAACATCCTCCAGGGGCTGCTCATGGCCGGGGTACAGACACATTGATGACTCACAAGGGCGCATGTTCCAAATCTCTGTGTTTTGGCAGAAGAAGAATGTGGAGAACTGCCCCTGCAAGGAGACACGGTCTGACGACGACCATTTGCGAGACATGAGCTGGCCCGACTACAAGGCCTGCTGGGAGTCAGACAAGGCATCCAAATGCAGTACAGACCCAATGAAGAAAGCCTGCGTCCGCCGTGTCTCACTGTCTGTTGGTGCAGGTTGTGTGATGCAGGAGGTGGAGACGGAGCTGAAGCGCATCCCCGAGGCGACTTTCTTCTACAAGTGCATCACTCTGCAGCCCAAGGAGAGCATCCTCTGGTCAATCGCCAACATACAGGATGAGATCCTCGAAGGCATCGACCACCTTACAGAGCACGGCGGAGCGTCGGCCTTCATCGACATGGGAGAGCATGTCAACGCCAGCAGCCTTGATACACACATCACGGACCTGCAAAGTATGGTACGGCGATTTGGTAACTAACGGAAACGCAGTGGGTGGCTAAATGTATTGTCTGCTTGTGTGCGGCAGACCAACGACACGGAGTTCATGTCGCTGCTGCAAGAGGCCGAGGGCAATCCAGACAACCAACACATCACCGTTCCAAAATACATCAGCAAAGCGGTGAACAGATCGAACCCACCGATTGTGTCTCCCTCCGACCCTGTTTGGCTGGCCGCGATAATGCAGGCCTTCTTCAGCTTCTTCATGAAGCTGATGCCCTACCTGCCCACAGAGCACCCCGGCCACACAGAGGGCGGCGGCGAACACGAACAGTATCAGCACGAGAGCGCCGGCCCCGGTGGGAAGAAGGGCAAGTGCGAGAGATCGCCCAACGTGTTGGTGGACCACCTTGAGGGCCACGAGAGGGGACGCATGATCGTCTGGCGGCTGGCCCAGAAGGAGTTCGTCTACGATGCCTGGGTTTACCTCATGGCTGGGGTGCGCCATACGCACGCACACACACACGAAGGCACACACACAGTGCACACGACGATGAAGCATGTGCGTGTTGTGAGCGCAGGGTCGCGAGGGTCTTGGCCCCGCCATGTTTTCTAAGGCGCTGACGTACCGCCATCAGGTGCTGCACTCACAGGAGCTCAAAACAGGCGCGTGCTGAGCTGGCGGCCTGGCGCACCGGAAGAAGGAGACAGACAGGCAGAGAGAATGTGCCCTACGTAAGGACTACAATACATTCATGAATGACACTCAGACTTGATTTGTCATGGCACACCAAGTCATGAAGCCACCACCATGTCTGTCCACTGGGCTCGGTGCCATTCTTCAAGGCATGTACTCATTATTCTACAGACAGACAGGGCCATGCACTCACTCATTTGTCAGTCGGCAGCAGGCTAGACTGACACGATTAGGTCGGTCAGAAGACCTTGATACAGGCCTACAAAGCCCTCAAACATCTCTCTGCCTCAATAGACCAATACAATCAGCTTCCAATTCCGCAAGTATCTCCAAAGGTCAATGTTCTTGTTCTCCGTGGAAGTGAATCCGTCGGCTTGGCTGCCATCGACGAACAGCACACCAACCGCCTTATCGCACCCGATCAGAGCAGCATTCAGCTTGCCAATGGCTGCCACTTGACCTGTCTTTTCCACTTCGTCTGTCATGGCGCTCCAGCTCACTTTGACGCCAACCAGCTGGTGCTTCTTGTTTCTTGATGGGCGGAATGGCAGTTCCCTGCTGACAAATGACTGGACGGTCCCATTGGAGTCCACATAAGGTCGGTGGGGGTAGGCTTGGAAGAGCTGCGTCACGTTGCCCCACGCATCGGCGGCTCCCTCCATGACGATGTCGACACCCATGTCGCGGGACCTGGTGGTGCGCGTCTTGTTCTCCTTCATATAGTCGACTAGAAGCCCTATCAGCTTGATTCCCGTCTCGACCAGCTCCACTTTGTTGAGAAACTTAGAGTCCACGTTCAAATAACCCGCCTCAAGCAGCCGCTTTTCGATGGTGCTTTCCTGCTGCCCGTCAGGAGTGGTCAGGTGGCCTCGAGCCGCTGTCTGTCCCAAGGGCCTGACTGCCACATTGGCCTGCATGGACATCCATACAACATATACACCATAGCTTGAGGGAACAACGGCCCGTCTTGTCTCCCAGAGGCGGACGGGCTCTCGTCTCTGATGCTGGGATTACCTGTGTGGCTGTCAGTGGGACCACTGGTGGACAGAAACCACTGCCAAAGGGCGGCACGGTCATCAGGAGCACCGAAAGAGGGACAAGCTGGAAGCTCATCTCACGACGTGAGCGATGAATGACTAGACAAAAGGATGGCAAGATCCTTCCCCAATGAGTGAGGAGTCTCCAGACGATGTCGCTGTGAGGCGAGAAAGGCAAAAACGACGGATCGCAGCTGAGCTCGCAGAGAAGATCTGATCATCAACAGCGACAGATTATGCTGAAGCGTGCCGCATTGCGCGAGGACTCCCTCCGGTGCATCGCTCTCGTCAGCCCTCCCCCCTTCCATTCAGTGCGGCTCGCCAGACGCAATAAGGTTCTCTTCCACGAGTTCCGCAAGCCGCCGCCCGTCGGCATGAAGTTCAGGGAGCGCCGCGTCGCGTCTGTGACCGAGAACCTCATGGATCACCCGCTTGAAAACCTGGCTGGCGAAGATCTGGCCGAGTATGCGTATCGGCTGCACAGGACGAAAGAAGCGGGAAGCGACGAGTGGGAGGGGCTGGTCGTGCGCATGACGGAGCTAGTGAATACGCCACTGCTGAAGGCCAACCACATTGCGCAGCTGCTCAAGTTTCTGGCGAGGGAGAAGGAAAAGCTGACGGATGACTCCCTTGCGCCGCTTTATGTTGCTCTTGGGGAGAGGCTGCCTTCCTTCGGCGCACAGCCGGCCGCTCGGGCATTCATTGCTTTGTCGGGCCTTGCCGACCTGCCAGAAACAGGTAACAGGAAAACCACAGTGCGACGGCATAGTACATGCAGTGTGTGTGTTTGTTTGTTTGTTTGTCCCAGGTCATCCCCCATCCGAGAGCCCCTCCGGCAGTGTGTGGCGTCTGGTGGACACGCTGCTCGAGAGGCTTGAGGACCATTACGTGCGACTGAAGCTGTCGCCACGGTAGGCAATAAGGCAGTGCAGCAGTGCGTCCAGAGGATGTAATGTGTTTGCTCTCTGTTCCTGATCAGTGCTGCCGCTCTGTACGCATGTGGCTGCGCCCGACTGGGGCTGCCGAGGAGCCCACATAAACAGCACAGCCAAGCACTGGTACACAGACAGACACGCTACGCTGTCCGTTTTGCATCTGGGTCGGTTTCTTCCTTCAGACCGTGTTGCGTGACCTGTTGCTGTGCCCCAAGGCAAAGCGGCTTGCGAGGATGGAGCCATCCGAGCTGCAAGACGTGGTACGGCGGGGCAAGGAAGATGGCGCTCGTTTCTTTCGCGGTGTGGCACTTGTGGGACTTGTGTGGCTGGGTGAATGTCTGGGTCGCTGGCTGGTTGGTCAGGTGTGGTGTTACGCGTTGGTGGTACCACCAGACCGAGCACTGTTCGATCACATCGTGTGGAAGGTACTCCAGGAGGGAAAAGGCTCCTGATGTATGCGAAAAATTACACTGTTCAGATCAAAGGCAGTGAGCATCGCCTGCCGCCCCACGTGTGCATCCACTTGGTCATAGGGTGAGTTCAGCCGAGCCGAGCCGCCTCTTGCAGTCGGTGTATTTATTGTGCTTGCACTGCACGTGTGTCTGTCATTCTCATTGTCAGCCTGCGTCGAGTTGGCCGCCTCAGAGAGGCCCTCCCTGCCCTGACCACACATCTTTCGACAGGTCGGTAGATAATGCACCAATCAATGGTCAGCAAGATGCCAGTGGCATTACTGCACGGTCGTCTGGTGTTTGCCGTGTCGTCTCATTCAGTTCAGTCTTTCGAGTGGTGCAGTGCCACGGACCTGGCGCGCGCCCTCCACGCACTCATCCCCACACCAGTAACCCCTGATGGCGAACAAACACAATGATCAGCCTTTCACAGACAGTCATTCTCATTCTCTGTGTGCAGGCCGTGTCGGTGTCACTCCTCTGTCGTGTTGCGAGGGCTTTCGACGGAGAAGGACACTCGGCAGAAGCGTACGCCGCGAAGAGAGAACATGGGAACGGTTTCACGACCATCCGAACGGGCCTCTTTGTTTGTGCTCAGACTCGGTTGGGATCGCTGGCTCCATCTCCTTCTCAGAGCCGTCAAGAAGGTACGCAGCCGCGTGTTGATGGACTGTGCCGTGCCACTTTGTCTATATCTCTGTGGGCTGTACAGGGACTTGCCACCGTCACTCGCGCATCAGCTGAGCAGGTCCTGCCTGAAGACCTCTCCTCGTTTGCTGATAAAGTCGATGTGGTGAACGAGCTCCTTAATGCCCTCGCATCTGAAACGGTCAGCTTTGACGCGGCAACGGATGAGGATAGCGAGGCGCAGAGGAAGATCGAGCTTGGACAGGTCAGTCAGTCAGGCAGCACAGGCTCGCGAAAAGGTCCCTCTGTGGTCATGTGCGGTGTGTCATGCAGCTGTTGCTGAAGCACCTGTCGACGTCATGGCGGGCCAGCAGGGAAGGCGAAAACGAGCCGGAAGAAACCTTGGCCTACAGGAACGGATCCGTGAGAGCGTCGGAGACCCAGGCACCCGCCGCGTCAGCCAGAGAGGGCGAGGCCATGATCCGAATGCAGCCTTCCGAGGAGGACCCTGATGACGATCCGTGGGCCGGTGCGCTCGGCAGGCTGCTGCAGAGGAAGGCACGTGAGCAGCGGCTGGCGATACAATCGGTTGATGAGAGTGGGGGTGATGAGTGTGTCGGTGAGGGGGAGGGGTTGGCCAAGTATGAGAGGAAGGGCCGTGTGGAGGCTTATGAGGTTGTTTTTGGCCCGGAAGAGGCAGACAGGCAGGAATGATGGATGGGAGGGAGGTGTGCGCGGACATGAGCTCATGACTTCTTGATCTGTCTGCATTTCATGATCGTGCTCAGGAGAATCGATTTATGCAGTGAATTGCATGGAGGATTCATTGCAATCAGTTAGCCATCACTCACACGCCCGCACACGGACATTATCCCCTGCAGAAGGCCATCGGACATACCATGTGGCAGCTTGTGTGGTCTTGTGGCTGACGTATTCAGGTAGCTCTTGACCCCCTTGGTCTCATGGCCAGACTTTTGGCTATGAGACCAAGGGTGTCAAGGGCTATTTGAATACATCAATACGATGCCATACACACAAGCTAGCTCTTGCCACCAAGTGTATCTATGTAGCTCATAGCTATTTCTCTACACACTTTGGATGCCACGCCTCCTGTCTCCCTGTCACCCCAGTGCAGCGTACGCTTCACAGCTGGGCACTCGACCGCACAGCAGTAAGACGTATGCCACTCGAGTGGAAGGAAGTCGGGAGGATCAAAGGCAGATATGCACCACTCAAGCGAATCCACACATCTCATAGATGGACGTACGTAGGCAGCCCGACAGCTAGGTGGGGAAAACACAGATACGTACGTGTCGATCCGTGTGGTGAGCGACCAACCGGCCCCCTCGCTCACTGCACTGTGTGTCACCGCATCCTCCCACCAGCCACTCCGCTCGTCCATGTATCTGTCGTCCATCGATCAGGCATTTCTCGGCTGCACGGCATCGCTCCCGCGAATGTGCACGTAGATGGCATCGAACGCACGCTGCAACGAGTCCTCATCCTACCACCACACAACGCCCACAGGCCGACACAATGCTCTTCATAACAAAACCGCCCCGCTCTGCCCTGCCCTGCCCTGCCCTGCTCTGCTCACCTTGAGTCCGAACATGTGTATCTGTCCCAGCGGGTATATGAACATCTTCAGATTGGGCCTGTACATGCCGCCAGCTGTCGAGGGCGCCGCTGCGCCAGCGCCAACACCGGCAGCGGCAGCAGCAGCAGCAGCAGCTGCTGGTGCTTGTGCTGGCGGTGGTGGTGCGCTCGCCGCTGCGTCTTTGCCGCCCGCCACGGGCGCCTGGGATCGAGAGGGGCTCAACGGCCCCGCAGCCGAATCAGCCGCAGCCTGTGCGAATGCATTCATGGATACAAACCAAAGACAGATGGCTGGATGGCTGGATGCGTGTGTCTGTCTGAATGCGCACCTACCTGTGATGTGGTGGGCTTGGCATCGTCTCTACCTGCGGTGGTGGCGCTGGCGGCCATCCGCGAGTGGCGCACGAAGATGGTGTCCTCACTGATGGTGCGGACGTCGGCCGGGTTGGCGTGGGCCGGAGGACTTGTGGCGAAGTGCGTCTGCAGCACTATCGCCGGCAACACCTCGGGATCGAACTTCTGATGAAAGCATGAGGACAAAACAGCACAGGAGACGGCGAGTGCGTCTGCTGCTGTTGCACGAGTGTGTGGTGTGGTGCACTCTGCGTACCACATCAGCGATTTCGATGAGGTCGACGGGCTCGTCATCGCGCAGACGCTTTTGGTATGTGTTGGTGAGGTAGCTGTACAGCTGCTGCAGGTGGACGCACCGCTGGCCATCCGCACTCAGATCGACCTCAGCTGAGTGAGTGAGGGAAGCACACACGCATCAGAAGACAAGATCGATGGCAACGTTTGCCTGCGTATGTGCAGAAAGGTGTGTAGGTACCGATTAGGTGGAGGGCTTTGAGCGACGTCGTGTCGATCGGCACCTCGGGATGATACTGATCGCTGTACATCTCCTTGATATACCTGTGCACCCACACCCACACCCACACACACAAAAGGCGTGCAGGCTTAGTGTGTGAATGCGCTGTGTGTGTGCTAGACTTACTCCTCGTAGGCATCGACGGCGCTCTCGGGCGTCTTGGAGACAAACAGAGCCGATGCATTCTGATGGAACCACGAGGGCGTCTTGTCCCGGCCCAAACGAGCCACAACACGGTCGCCCTGCACTCATTCACATGTACACGTACAGTGAGTGCCACACGTCAGTCACAGCTGCGTCTGGCGGGCAGGTTAGGTGTTCGCTACCTTGGTTGATGTCTTGAAGAACGGCGCCTCGACATCCTCAAAGGGAAAGGGCCGCTCTGGGTCCACCCACGACGCGAAGTGGCCACAGATGAGATACCGCCTGATGGTCACTGCCGGGCCTTTCCTCTCCCTCTTGGCCGGGCTGCCGATGGAGACGAGACTGCCCGACCGGTCCACACGCATCCTCGGCGGCTCGCCTCCAAATGGCGGCATCATTGGGAAGGGAGGCGATGGCCACGGCTGCGTCAAGTGGGGGTACGGGGCGGCGCCGGCAGGCATGCTGGCCATCGGACGGAATATGGGATGCATGTGGTGGGGAAAGCCCGAGGGGTAGGGGGCCTGCGGTGGGGGGCCTCGGAACTGCGCACACACAAACAGATACGTAGGAGGCTTTCGACAGTGACCGTTGGGTTGACAGTCACATCACATGCCTGCCGTACTTACCTGTTTCCTCTGCGGCGGCTGCATGCCCATCGTGCCGCCCCCAACGCCGACAGGCGACTTCTCGCGCTTGTAGGCCGACATGGCCGGAGGAGCAAATTGCCGCCCACCAGCGCCTGCAGGACCACCACCTCCAGCAGCTGCAGCAGCTGCAGCTGCAGCTGCAGCTGCAGCGGCTGAAGGGAACGGTGCTCCGGTGGAGAAGACGTTCCTACCGCCGCCGCCGGCATAGTGCTGCATCCCAGGGCCCCCTCCCTGCCAGTTTTGCAGGTTGACCGATGGGAAGGGCTGCACCCGTGCCTGTGGGTGCTGCTGCAGCCGTGGTTGCGGCTGTGTTGGCTGGCGGCCCGCCAAAGCGTTCCCCAGCGACGTCATCGGAGCTTGTGGTGGACGTGGCTGGTTGCCGCCCTGCTCGCTGGCAGCGTCTACATCCACATCGATGACGTCGGCTTCCATGGGCGGCTGGCGTGACGCGGGTGGGCCGACTGCTGAAGCAGGAGGCCTCCCGTGGAACGTGTGGCGCGAACTCATGGGCACCTCCTTCCCACTACCGCCGCTCATCATCCTGAGGAAGCAACAGCGACAGATCTGCCTCTTTTCCCTTCAGCTCGCAAGCTAGGGTTCGTCGAGAAACCGCTCGTCGCAAGGGTGGTGTCTTGTTCAGGATCCAGAAGGCTCAAGATAGACTTCGCTTGTCGATAAGCAGAGACTTTTCGAGGCTTGTTTCGTCAAGCGACTGTTGGTCTCTTGTCGAGTTGAGTGCCAGCAGGAGAGCCTTTTCTCTGTCGTCATAGTCTTTGTATCAGCGTATAAGATGCCCGTTGCTGGAACCAGCGCCATCCTCTCGTCGCATGTCGCCCTGGGGCGGCTACAGGAGGCGTGGAAGCGCATGGACGACTCCCACCTGCGCGTGGACGCCATCTTTGGCCGCCCCTCCATCCAGCGCGCCAACTACACCGCCATGCTCACCAGCATCGCAGGAATGACCCCCGACAAGCAGGTAGTCCACCCCGATGGCAGATGCCCCCACACAGGAGATTTCGATTACCTGTCTGTCTGTCTGTGTGTGTCAGATGGAGGCCCTCAGCCAGCTCAAGCAGGAGGCGGCTGACGTCACCCAGACCATGGCGGGCATCGACGAGGAGTTCCGCCGGTCCAAGGACAACGGAATGCAAATAACCGTAGCTCATCTCAGTGGTACGCGGCCAACACACACCGAGCCACCGGTGCACTCCCACAACGACAACTGCAACGTCCCTCTCGATGATCCGCACCTCCATATCGCTGGCTGGTATCTGCGTGTGTCAGGGAAGCGTTCGGTTCTGGATGTGACTCCGTACGACACTGTTGAAGAGGTCAAGGCCAAGATTCAGGACAGGGAGGGCATCCCGCCGGACCAGCAGCGGCTCATCTTTGCTGGGAAGCAACTGGAGGACGGGCGCCTCCTCGCCGACTACAACATCCGACACGGGGCAACCCTCCACCTCGTGCTGCGACTCCGCGGTAGGGACACCTGCCTGTCTGCCTGCCTTCCTGCCTGCCTCCTACACACGCAGAGGGTCTCTGATGGATTTTGTCTCTTCATTCCATCTGCTCAGGCGGTATGTTTCACATCAGCAGTGGTCGTGAGGGCTGGGGTTCGGCCGAGATGACCGATGGGGAGCGCCAGAGGCAGGAGCAGCGGGTGGCCATGGCCAAAGAGCGGCTCGCCGACCTGGGCATCGACAACACGGGCATCGAGAACGACGAAGAGCTCATCGACGAGGCCATCTTCAATGACCACGAGCTCGAGGCTGCCAAGGGCTGCAAGGAGGACGGCTACGGACAGGCCCTCGTCGATGCCTGGAGCAACAACGAGGAGGTGAGCCAGACGACACACACACACACACACTCACACACAGGGGGTCGTGAATGTGTGCGTGTGCTTCGTTGTCATGGCCAGGTGCTAGAGATGGTTCGTGAGCTGACGGCGGCGTTCGAGACGATGAGCGCCACGAGCGACCGTCTGGTGCAGCGGCTCTCCATCTAAACACACAACACAACACATAAATATGGTGAGGGAATGGCATGCCAGCCACATTACACACGACACACACGCTCTCGTATGTATGTGCCTGTGTGCTTTTGTGTTTGTGTGTGTCTGTCTGCAGTAGAATGCGGTGCGCTGTCGGCACCGTGTACCACTGCTGTTTTTTCTATCTAAGGCGATTTGAGTCATCGACTGCATGGTCTGCGATGCTGGTGTGCGTATGCGGGAGCTGCGGTCTGCTGTTGGGGTGCGGCAAATGAGAAGGGCTCGAGGCCTTCAATGCTCTCGAAGTCTCTTCTCGGCTCTGCGCTTCGAACGGCTTGGCGTGGGTCGATTGCACTCGTCCCGTCCGGCACTGCGTGTGGACATGGTGGCAAGTTTGCTTTCTTTCTGTGCGTTGAGAGAGAGTGCTGTGATCGATTGTGCACTGCTCTGTGCTCTGTATGGCGTATTGCATTGCATGATGTGTATGTTCAGGCCTCCCCCCTCCCCCTCCCCCTCCCGCCGCCCCGCTATCGTGCCTTTTGGACTGCTGGTAAGCAAAGTGAACAGTGCGTGCCTGGTACATGCATGTGTTGAGTTGAGAGGAAGTGGGCAAACGTTCATAAATGCATCCGTCTCATTCAATGCCTACTCAGCCAGAGTGGAAGCCCTGAGGCTTGTTTCATCCCTCCTTCCTTACACTCCCACACGAGACAGACAACCCTCCCTGTCCACCGGTCAAATGTACCACTAGCCCCCCTCACTCACCACGAACACCCTCCCCCTCTCGATAACGTCACGCTCGAGACCGAATCGCTGCAGCGGACGGCGGGCAGCACCAATCGAGTTAGGGGTCAGTGAGTGGATGAGACGCATCGGCAGGAGATGGCTCGGTCGTCCACAAATCGATGATACCATCTCACGTACCATCTCTCGCCCACAGATGGGGAGAGGTGGTCTCGTTGGGCTGGAAGCCGTTCAGAATCACAAAACGATCATACCTCGTATCAAAGGCAGCATTCAGATCGCCATGATCGTAGCGGTAGTCGACAGCAATGCCCTGATCCTCTGTGATGTCGTCGGTTGTCAGCAAACGGCCATAGCGCGGGTCGCCACGGCCGATATGTGCAACGAGCACCAGCTTGCCCACCTCCTCTCCCTGCCACCGGTGGAGCACCCTCTCCATCACGAACGCCGAGAAAGAGCGACAAAGATAGGGGCCCTGTCGGATGACAGGATCGGTCCGCTTGTAGTCCTCAGCATAGCGATGGCCGCCCGGCAGCTCACCCAACGGCACCACACGAAATGACTCATCATCGACCTGATACTGTCCGTCGTCGGTTTGCTGCAGCTCCAAGCTGCCTTTCGTCCATTTCCTTGTGAGCTGACAGCCAATGGTGGCGTATATGGCCATGGCGAGTGGCAGCTGGTGGAAGACCGTTGCTGTGGGCAGTGAGTCGGCCGACAGACGGAGGGGCCGGCCCGTGCTGGGGGTCAGCCGGTAGATGAAGGCCAGTCGAACGAACCGCCCCATCGCCCGCCACTCCTCACCGATGCCCTGCTCCAACAGCCAGACGACCCTCAAGCTGCCCTCCACGTCACCATCAATGTCGAAGGCCAAGACGTCCTCCAAGCCGAGACGCCTGATGGCCTTGTTGATGTGCTGCTGGACGGCGTTGAGCAGGGTGCTGTTGACGGTCTCTGTAGTGTGGCCCAGCAGCTCCTGTTGCCGAGTGCGGGTGACGATCTGTGAGCGGAGAGCGGCTCGTTTGGCAGCGTCAGTCGACATGGCCATGGCAGCCATCTTGCTGATGGGCAATGACAGGTCAAAGAGGTCGGCGGGCTGGAAGAGGGCAGGGCTGGGGGGACGGGACGAGGGCGCTGCACCAGTGGGCTGCATCGGTCCGATTCGGTCGTGACTGCTGTGGAAAGGTCCCAGGGAGGCGTGATGTGCGTGAGAAATCTGCAGGCACACAGCAGTCTGCGAGCTTGGCAGAGGGAAACGAGAGTGAGTAGGCGGCAGCATGGTGAGGCTATACGACGGCATCGACGACAGCCAGGTGGGCGATACACTGACGTATTGATTGCACGGCTGTCGTAGATGCATTGATTGCATTTGGCTGTGCCGTTGGCCATGCAGCTCACGACAGAGCAAATCAGGTGGGCGAAAAATGGCCGCATGATGCGTCCGTACAGTTCACGTGGCTGCAATTTGTCTTTTTGGCTGCCCAGGGCGTGTCTGGCGGAGGAGGAGAGGCGCATCGAAATCCTGCAGCGATACCTCATCAACGAGTGAGCAACACGACCGCACACAGACACGCGGAGATGCACTCATCGATGTGAATGCGTGTGTGTGTGTGTGTGTGTGTGTGTGCATGTCAGGGGTGTGTGTCATCCCAGTGAGTTCCCTTTGGTGCCTCCCGTCCACGAGCAGGAGTGGCAGCGACAACAGCTGGAGCGTCAGCAAGAGCAGCAGCAGATAGAGTCTGCCACAGCAGCGGATTACGCATACCAATACAATGACCGAGGTGAGTGTTGTGTAATTCACCAATCGAGAGAGCGCATCCCACTCATCCACCCGTCTGTGACCTTTGTGTGTGCACAGGTGAGAGCCCTCAGCGCAGTGGCGGCTTTGGCAACTTCGGCAACAGCGATGAAGGCAGCCCCACCAGCAGATCTGGATACAGAGGACAGCGATTCGGTAAACCACCACACGCACACAACGACACCCCTTCCCCCCCCCACACACGTGAATGATGTTTGTTTCCGTCTGATGGGACACGTGGATGCAGGCCCGTCTCCCGAGCCGTACACCAAAGACACCAGCAGTGTGGATGGGGCCAAGAAGGAGGTGCCCCTGACGCCGCCCACCCAGTCCACCAGCATGGGCTCGCCACCGGAGAGACCGGTCTGGCCGCACCAGGGCAGCCATGACTACGTGGTTGGGCCGCCTGTTCGCCAGGTGTCTGAGAAACAGGTAAATTAGTACCTGACCTGACAGTGTGTGTATCCACCAGAATTCACTTGCACACGTGTCACTGACACGTGCAATTGCGTAGGGCGAAGAGATACTGGCTTCGTTCGCTGGCGGTGTTGAAAGCTGCGATGACGTACGGCAGACAGACAGACAGACAGACAGGGATATGCACTTATGTGTGTGCGTGTGTGCGTCTGTGTGCGTCTGTGTGTGTGTGTGTTGATGGGATGCGTCGTCAGTTCTTCAAGCAGTTCATGGGCGTGACCACCATGTCATCTCAGGTATGAGACTCCACCCACCCACATACACACATGACATGAAGCAATCCAATCCGGGTGAGCACACGTGTCGTGTGTCTATGAATATGTGTGTTGGTGCCTGTGTGTGTACCGACCGTACAGGCCGACGAGATACTCGCGGAAAAGTTCAACCAATGGCGGTCTCTGTCGAGAGGTACGGTAGGCACCTGCCTGAATGAGTGGATGGATGGATGGATTCTGTACTTGCACAATCATTCACGTGTTTGTGTGGTCTGTCTGTCCATTGCTCACTAATCTAATCAGTGCCCCAGCTGCGTGAGAAGTTCTCGGCCATCTACGCCCGCCTGCATACCGTGAGCGACGGACCGACCGATGCTTCCACGTCTCTTCCACACGTTTCTCTCTTTGTGTGGATGGGCTGGTGGCGTGTGTGTGTGTGTGAACTGAAGAGCCGCCCTGAGAACTGCCGCACCCTCGACACCGAAGCCGACCAAGCCACAAACACTTGCAGTACGGATGCGATCGATGCGTGTGTGCAGGTGTGCAAACGATGCTCCTGACTGTCTGAGTGTGTGTGTGTGTGTGTGACTCTGGTTGCTGCAGGTGGTAGCGCGTACCTCAGCCCATTCATCCGGTTTGTGCGCGACTTCTTCATCGCGCCCTACGTCCACGTGCGGATTTGCACACTGCACACACGCACACACACACACACACACACACACAAGCGATCTGGGCGCACCTTACCCATAGCGCATTCGTTTTTGCAGGTTGGAGCCGTCACAGTGGACAACTCGCGTCACTCTGCTGTGGACGAAATGGTCATCAGAGTCGACGAGACGCCTTTGCTCGACGAACAGCGTACGACAAGAGACAGGCTGTGACTGTGCTGTGTGTGCTGTGCTGTTGTGCGATGTGTGTATGAATGGATGTATGTCTGAATATATTTGCGTGTGGCGTGCTGTGCTGTGCAGATCTGACGGGCGAGAGGCACACAGATTGGGTGTGGAAGGCCTTCATGAAGCAGGGCAAGTACACACAGGTATCGATCGTATTAATAAGGCAGGCCTTCATGTGCTGCATGGTTACGGTCAGACCACTGCGTACGGTACGCATCTGTCTGTGTGTGTGTGCAGGTGGTGTTCATCAAGACCCAGTGGCCGCACGACATGCTGCAGCAGGTGTGTGACAAGTTTGCCGAGGTGGTCAATGAGTTCATCAAGAAAAAACACAACTTCAAAGAGCTGCCGAGGCGAGTGAGCGAATGAATGAGTGAATGAGTGAATGAGACGAGACGCCCACACGCAAAGAAACCCCACGTGTGTCAGTCATATCATGCGCCGCTGATGGATGGATGGATGGACGGCAGGCACTGGACCGTGCACAGGACTTGTCAGTACCTGATCGTCACCTCGCCCACACTCAGGAACTGGGACACACTGGTACTACGCACACACGTGCCACATGCACTCCCTCACTGACTGAGGCACACTAACTCATTCATTCACGATGGATATGTGTGTGCAGCAAGTGTGGGCGTGTTACTATCGGCAGCTCTTCAGACCTGAGAACTCCGTTTATCACCCCTACGGCAACAGGCCTGGGGCCTACAGAGACCGTGGGGGGTACAACAAGGTCCGTGAGACAGACAACGTACACCAGTGCACCCCCGGCGACACGTCCGTCCGTGTGTGTGTGTGTCCAGGGCGGCCGTGGTGACTATGATCGGCGGGACAGCTATCGGGTACCTACCACACAGACATACACACCACACCCACCCTGCACGGCACGCACTGCACACACACAGACCCCGATGGATGTGTGGTGTGTGGTGTTGTGTGTCTATCCATCAGACTGGCAGCGGTGGTCGTGGTGGCGGTGGTGGCGGTCGTCGGTTCGATCGGGGCGGAGGAAGTGGCGCGGGTGGGGGCGGGTCCAGAGGCAGGGGCAACAGCAGCAGGGGCATCCTCTGACCGACTGGCCCACTGACTGACTGGCACGTTACACGTGGTGCAGGAGTGTGCGTGTGCGTGTGTGTAACCGATCACTTGACGGCGGGTCTTTGTCTGCCTCGTTTGTGTGAGTAAACCGGAGCCTGTTTGTCAGTCAGCCTTGTGTAACACAGAGCGAGACGCCTGCAATGACACGTTTGTGAGGCGGGCTCTCGCTCGCTGGAAGCCGATTCATGAATAAGGCCACCCTTGTAGACTCTTCACAGGATGGATGGATGGATGGATAGGGGGCGGTGGCGTGTGTGGATGGTATGCTATGTGTGGATACGTGACGACTGGCGGCTCAGGGTGAGAGAGTCGCTTGACGCGTGTGTGTCCTGGACGGTGTGTTGCGTGCGTGGGCTTCCTCGTGCGTCAGGCCGTCAGCTGAGACCACGACTGCATGTCGGCAGTGCTGGTGTGAGATGACGGCGAGGAGTCAGGGAGGCCCACGGCCATGCAGCGAGCGACACAATGCATTGTGTGGATGGAAAACTGGCTAAATGGACGCATGTGTGTATCTGTGTATGTATGAGACGTCAATGGCCAGCGATATCATCCTGCGGGTGGGCTGGTGGCTTGTGCATGGATCCACAAGTGAGGGCCGGGAGGCTGCAGGAAGGACCCTGACTTGTTGGACAAACCATTCATGTTGTCAGAAAACGATGTGACCGACCCACAGCACACCTGTACACTGACTGTTCTGTGTCATCCACGCGTTGGCTCCGTGTGGTACCCGTCTGTTGAATAGAGCTGATGGCCCGATGCAATCAATGGCCATCAGTCCAATCCGACGGACGAACACGACCAAGAAACCAAGGAACGGTTCCACAGACGAAGCACATCTTGATCGAGGCCGTGAAAAAATGGCGACACGCCGACCGAAAGTCAACCAACAGCAAATCAGACCGACACACCCTGCAGCTGCCCTTCACGCACTTCATTAATGGGATGAATGCATGGCTATCTACAATGCATCAGAGCCACGATAAACCACCCACTAGCCTCCGCCCCAGCTCACTTCGTCTCGTCTCGACTCGACTCGCATCACTCGTTCTCAGAAGGTCAGTCAGTAGATGAAGGGGAAGAACTTGTTGGTCTCCTGCGCGTACTGCTCATAGTCCTGGAACGTGTCCACCAGCTGCCGCTCCTCGTAGTTGGCTTTGTTCTCCAAGATCCAGAACAGCAGGCCACACAGCACCAGCCGCTCGATTGACTTGGTCGCAAGAGCCAAGCCAAAGGACGCTATCAGCAGCCCTGAGTACATTGGGTGCCTCACGTACTTGTAGATGCCTGATATGATTGGGGCAAGGGCGAGAGGGATGGCGAAAGCAGACAGACATTGTATGTTGCAGTTTCTGATTCTTCTTGGTGTGTGTGTTGGGTACCCTCTTTCTTGAGTGTGGCTCCCTGGATGGGTTGCGGCCATGGTGAGATGTCCTCGCCCATCTCAAGCACACCAGTCAAGATGAACAGCAAGCCTGCGCATACACACACACACAGATGTAAACACACACCAAAACGTGACATTGTAACCCCATCCATGTGTGTGCATTGTGGCACTCGGCCTATTATGTACCGACCGAGTGATATGAACGAGGGCCCAAGGCCGTATTCCATGAAGTCGCCGACAACCGGCACTTTGCCAATGATGACAGCCAGGACGCCAAACACCTGGAGAAACGCCCACGCCTCGCCCTCACCGAATGACGTCTTGTTCCACACATTGGCCTGGACGAATATCAAACCACACCAAGACACACAGGCAGAGCAGGACACACGCTCGCTTGTTGCTCCATCCATCCATCCATTCGGTGGTCGCCTCACCCTCAGCTTCTCTCGCAGTCCATCGGCCTCGAGCTTGTCGGGCAGCTCCTTCAGCTTCTCAGCATATCGGCCGAACAAATCAGCCACCTGACGATGCACAGGCATAGACAGCAGAGGGAGCCCAGCCCGTTCACGCGTCTCTCAGTCCATGTCAGGTGACGCGTCAGTGCCTATAGCGAACCTCGGCCACTGGGCTCCTCCCCTCCTCGGTCCTTGTCTGCCTCTCCTGGACGGCTCGTGTGAATGAGGTGTCCCTCTCTCTGTCACTGTCGAAACTCTCCCACGCTGATGGCGTCCTCGAAGCCCTGACAACACAGAACACGCCGATGAACGCCCAAGTGAACCACTCATGGGCTGCGTAGATGAGGTGATCCTGGCGCACCTTAGAGCAGTACTGGACCTCTGAGGATCGTGTCTCCTCAGAATGCTTTCCTTGTCTTTCCTTGTCTTCTCCTCTCTCCACCCGTTACACAGCAATCTACCCTAGCTCACAAGCTCGCAGTGGTTCGTCTTCCCAAGCTGGCAATCCTGACAGATACGCCACCCACTGCCCTCTTTCCAGCTTAGCTCGCAGTCTTCTCCCCTTCTGAGCTCGCATTGTGCTGGGCATTGCAGATCTTCTTCGAGATGTCGTTTGCCGACCACTGGGTGTCGTTTGAGTCGAGCTGCAAGGCCAATCTGCAGGTGCTGCTTCTGGCTGTCGTCGGTTTCCTCTGCGGATACTACCCCACCGAAGAACGTACGTGAGAGAGATGCACTCATGGGACGCACACCACACCACACGATACGATACGCACTGATACGTACACGCTGATCGATTCATGTCATGATTGTCGTCCTTTGTGTGGGTTGTGCCTGTCGCGGTTTCAGCGTTCATTGACACACGTGCAGCCAAGAAGCTGAGCCGCATCGCCCTCTATGTGTTTCTGCCGTGCTTGTGCTTCTGCTCCATCGGCTCACGGCTGACTCTCGATGACATGGCCACACTGTGGCCACTCATCATGTGGAGCTTCCTGCAGGTCGGCAGGGCAGACAGACAGACACCGCTTGATCCTGCTGTGCTGCCTTCCCTCACACAGATCTATGTCT